TATTTGAAAAAATCCTGAATTTCCACTAGTGTGACCCAAGTGACACATTTTGTCTTAGCATGTCATCATCCCTCGAAAATGTATGAAATTAAATGTAAATTACTTTTTATAAAAATTGTTATTGCTCAGACAAACCATAATTTGTATAATCTTTAATTTTGTTTGGTTACAGAGCTATCAAATAGAAAATCAGACCCCTCCTACCACACCCACCTGTCACATCCTCTCTTTCACAATTCAATGATAGTTATATATTACCTATAACCAATAGAAAGTCAAGGTTTTCATCTATCAACTGACATATTGTAAAACATTATGTTCGGAATGGTTAAATGTCAATTTCATTCAGAGTACGAACACTGTTCCCCTGGGAAAATTAACGACTAGCTTGGATGAATTTGTAACAACTCTTTTGCATAGTTAGAAAGCCAGGAACATTTTGAGAGGTAAGTGAATTTGTCTAGTTTTTGCATGTTATTAGTCTATATTCTTTGGTTCATTATATAATTAAATAAAAATTATTAAGTGTATTACTATCCATAGTATAAAAAATTAGGGTTAACTTTCTTCGAAACCCGACATCAAGAAAAAAGAAGATTGGTTAAGTATTATATTTCTTTTTTTGCATGTTTATTCTTTATGTATAATTATAAAAGTAATTCAAATGTAAAAATAGGGATCCTTTTAGACTTGTTAAGATTAGATTAGGTAAAATAAATAATAATAATATTATAATAAAATTGTTTCACAAGGCACACACGTGAGCAGCTCATAGTAGCTCATGGGTAATGTAATTCGATAGTGTAATATGAGCTGCACATTCCCCTGAGTCATTTACAACTTATAATGGTGCAAATAGTAGCTAGACATGGTTCAAAGAGCAATAAAACAATAAAATATAATTATAAATAGATGTATACTGTTACGATTTTAAAGCTACTTAAGATAAATGAATGCAGTTGCACACTAGATTTGAAGTCATTCTAGAAAGAAAAAAGGGTAATTTAGATTTATTTAGTTTTTTTTTTGGTGGTTACGAGGTCGATTGAATTGGCCAATCCATCTTGAGATAGCGTAGAGAAAATAACAGATAAACTATAAAGTCTTAAAAAATGTTAAAATTAAATATACTTTTCCTCATCTCAAAAATCTCAAATTTCCTTTGTGTAATCCCTAAAATCTCCTAAATGCATTTCAAACATTTTAAATTTTAACATGAAAATTACTTTGCACACGGACTATTCAAAACAAATATTCAATATATTCATGGACTAATCTTTATTTTATTCTATTAAAAATACTTTGCTAAGAAATATGACTTTTTGTACGTGAAAGACTTGTAATATTAACTAAAAGACTGACAAATTTTGTGAAGATATACCCACTATATTGAGAGTTATAAGTATTAAATCTATAAAGACTTGAAACGAGTACAAAAAGGTCACGTGCTCAATCAAATTTGTGCACCATGCCCCTATAGTATCACCTGAGTCTAATTATTAATTAGTTACTAGTTTCCGATTATAATTACTAAATACTAATTCGTTTTATATTATATTTTAGCTGCTAATCTGCAGACATTTCAAGGAGAGTTCAGAGAGTTATTTCTTGGTGGTAGTAGCCGCAGTTCAATCCTTTGCATTCTTAATAAAAAGGCTGGTGTGCTAGTCATTCATCTGGGTTACCCCCATTAAGAACTTAATCACCTAACTTATATAAATACTATTAAGCGGTATCCAGGTTTTGGTGAATTCTATGCTTGACTGACTGAAAGCATTCAAATTAGTCAACTGACTGAAGTCCTAATGGGGGAGAGGAAATCCCAAATGAGTTGATAGCACACCAGCATCTCTATAAAGAAGATCTAGGATCGATCCATGACCACTATCACCACAAAAGTAGTCCTTCTCAGAACTTCCCTGAGGGAGGCAACAGATTATCAGCTAAAGCACAGTACGAGAACTAGTTAGTAATTAGTATTTAGTAATTATAAAAAATAATATTAGTAACTAAATAATAATTAGACTTAGAAGATTTTACAGACTACTAACCATGACAATAAATGATATTTCATTGTAATAACCTTATTATAAGTACTTAAAACATAAATGCATTAAAATAATTTTTCAAAAACATTTTACAATATGGATTTAATAATTATCTGAAAATCTTACCCTGTTGAAATTGAAGAGCTTGTCTTAACTAATCCATCTACTGTGGACGTACCTTGAGGCTGCTTAAAGAAAAATTGAAATCAGAATGTTTTTATCAGCAAAAGCAGAAAAGAATGAAACCGAGAATGAATGAGCCTTAAACACAGATCATTAAAAACAGATTTAAAATAAATCATGAGATAAAAAATAACTAAACATGTTTGGTCCATTTAAAAAAAAAGAATAACCTGAAAAGCTATTATTACTTAAAGACTTGAAAACACTAGTCAAATATAATAATAATACTTAAGTCTACAGAGAAGCAATAAACAAATATGATTCACAATACACAGTACTTTTTTTAACTGATTAGCAATAGCAAACTCTTTAGTTAAAGTAATGAAGATAATCTCCTTATTTTAGAAATATCGAAAAAATGATTGTGAGATTAAAAGAGTAAATAATGATGTGGCAAATTTTTTTATGTATTTATAAAAGTATACATGCTAGCTACAATCATTATGTTTTACATAAAAACTTCATACATTTAAAAAAGGATATATTAAGCTAAAATATAAAAAGATAATAATTAAATGAAATATTGGCACTAAAGTGTTAAATATGAGACCCATGCCAGTCTTAGACAAATCATCATAAATCAGAACCATATGTTAGCAAAGAGTCACAAACATTGAGAAATTATTGTCAACAATAAAACATTGCAACTTTTATTGGGTGAAAAATATAATAAGGACAGGTATAGTAAACAACTAATGAAGATTTACCAAGCTGATGATTCAGTGCACACAGTAAATAAAAAATTTAAAAATGCAGAAAACTGGATTATATATAAATATGTGATTCAGTTTATTAAAATCATTATTAATTTCAACGTTCTTGTGCATTTATTTATAACATTTTTTTACTTCTTGTATGTTTGTTAAGCTTCATTAAACAGCTAATTTTTTAGTTTCCATTTAACTTACTTTTGATCCTAAGTAATTAATGTATTATGGAATAAGCTTAAGCAAGAAAGCAACAAAACAAACTTTAAAAATTAAGGTCAGTTTAGAGAAAATAGTAATAATGTTATTTTGGGAATCTGAGAAATTTTTTCCACTATTCTATGTGCAGAAAAATAAAACACATGAAAGTGAAAATGGTTAACTAAATTTCAATAGGAGCATTTATTTTGGTATAACTAAACAAACTACTTTTATTTGTTTATTCCAACTTTTAACCTAGCATAAACTGTTTTATATTTAAATGATTATTTTTAACCACGAACTCGAAAAATAGTGTTTCTTTTCAGCAGATTGCCATTTCTGGACAGAAAGAGCAGTTTTGATATTTCAATATTTTTATTTGAAAAAAATATAAAAATCTAATAAAAAATAGACAGCTCTGACTACTAGATTTTAAAAAAAGTATTGTAAGCATATGAAAGAATATAATTATAAACAAGAGCTGGTTTTTGGTCGTAGACCATAGAGACTAGATCCACCTGTACTAATCAGATAAAAAAACTGTGTGTAAATCATAAGACATTTGGTGCTTTTGCACATGGAAAATATATAAGTAGTGACCCTTCTATTTGATGAATGAACTGCAAACTATGGTTCTTGTTCAAGCTTTTCAGTGGTTATGACTGATTGGTATAATGGTAAAGCAAATTTCTTCAATTTGAATCACTAAAATCTTGCTTAATGACTTGTGACAAAATCTATTTACACACACATATTGTAAAATGCAAAAGTCCACAGATGTTAATTTCTGTAAATTTACATACTTGTATTATGATAATTTAATATTTTTATTTCTTAACCCTTTCCAGACGGATCACGAGTGAAAGGCCATGTCATTGTGTTTGTTGACTCATATTCAAAATTTTATTGAACTACTATTTCATAAATTTATGTCAATAAGTTAGCATGAAACTGTACTTGCCCTGTAATTTACTCCCTTCTGCTATTGTCTGTCTGCTGTTTCCACTCATCTCAAACTATTTATATTTCTGTCACTTAATCGTCTGCCTGCTTTCTATATTCTTGACATCAATGTATTGTACGCGAAGTTTGATAGTCTCAGCATCAATGAATTATTAACAAAACTTCCTACAATCGTCTGCTTTTAACTCTTATTATAACAAAAACTAAACAATAATAAAATATTCACTCTGAAAAATAAATTAATCAATAATATCTAAAATAAACAGTCTTTTATATTATGAAAAAATGTAACTGTATTTTACAAAATACTAGTCTACTAAAACACAGCCATGACAGGTCATTTTTATATTATTAGATACTGTAACATGAGTGCACGTGTGCCGCATCATTGTAACTTCTGTTAGCCAGGCATGGCTGAAAGGTCAATATAATAAAAGTATATAAATGTATAATGTTATGAGATTTTAGGTATTTAGTCTAAACATTTATATTTTCATGTTATAATATGTGTTCATTCTAGAATGACAGAGGCATAAGTTATATTTATTTCCTAATTTTTATAGTAGTTACAAGATCAGCCAAATCTACCGAACCCATACAAAGATTCATTACTGAAAATAACATATAAAATATAATATTTTTTCTTAAGAAACGATTGATAACTATCTGGACATTATAAAGATTTTGCACGTGAAATTTTAAAACTTTCTGATGCATAAAAGTATTTTTAATCTTAAAATGAAAGTTACTTTGCATGTTGGATACGCAACATGCGAAAAGCAAAAAAAAGGCATGAGAAAAACATTGCTTTACAAACCTCAAGACTTAATAAAAAATTTTTATATTTTACATATGAAAGCATTATAATGTTTACTGATAATTGCCAAATTTCATTAACATTCGCTTAATAATTTAAAAGTTATTGCATGAAAATTATAACAAGCAGAAAATTGTTATGAGGTCTATCCCAGGGACCAAGCCCGTGCTGAAAGAGTTAAGCTGAATTACCTGTGATCGCATCTTTGTACCTGGTGTTGAATCATTTTTTTTGTCTTTTATAGGTTGTGAGTTGTTCTGAGATTTATTGTTGACTGAAAATAAAAACAAAAGAAAGAGAAATATAAAACTCTGTTGAAACCATATTTTTCAAATATCACAAAATACAGTCAAATATTGGTATATCAACTCACAATACCTTAAATGCATGGCTGATGTTAAGTTGGAATTTATCCCATAAATTTCCATTAAGATTTATTGTGTCTGATACTTTATTTTTTTATGGATCAAAATTAAAGATCAAGTTCCAAAACAAAAACGAACTAATACCTAAAAAAATTCCAAAAATTTCTAGCACTTTGAAAAACCGAAACTCAAGTCTGTAACTCATTTACTCTTTATACCTTTATTAATAAGTTTATCAAACTTATTTTTCTCTCTTCACATAATAGTAGAGATGTTCCACAACAAAGAAGAACATCAAATGCATTTACTTAGCAGTATATGTCATTGTATATGTATTTGAAATTTATTCATTCAGAAATAAATGAACATGGTATTAAGCATAAATTCTCATTCCATACATATATGCTTACATAGTATATAAGAAAAGGATATCAATTGTATGTAATATTATCTTTAAACTGCTGTTCATACTTTTGTTTCCTTTTAAATCATTTGTAATAATCTACAATTTACAATCACAACATACAACCTATTACAGAACTTAAATATTAAAAAATACTAACAAAATTAGCTTTGGCTCATAATACTAAATCTCACAAAAACTGTTAAAAGCTGGCAAAAAAATTCACTCGTAATTGATCACACACCTAGATGAGTCATGTTCTGAGACACAGGTCTGATGAGATGCCGATAACGGTATGGATAATGAGGAACACGACCTGCGACAATGTGGGACACACAGTTACAAGAGACACAATGACAACACAAAGCTGGTTTCTTTAAGTTATTGAAATTGCAGTTGGTTAAAATAAAACAAGCTGTTATGAAAGAAGAGGAGCAAATTTCATGCTTTGTTAATATTTATAAAACGTATTATAAACAAATATAACAATAAACAGACAGTAAATTTCAATTAATTCAGTAATAAAATGTTAAAACAAACATTTCAGGTTCAACAAAAGTATTAGGGATAAACTTGCAAATCAATTGACAATCTTATGATTGTCAAACTAAAGAAAAACATGAACATAAAAGTGTCAGTGCCATACAACAATAAAACACACTAAAAATAATAACAACACCATTTAAAACACTTTAAGTTTAAATCACATCTAAAACAATACAAAAGACAGCATACTTGCTGGAACTTGAAGCATAGGAACTGAAGACCTTTCTTTAAATGTGGAAGGATTCAGAGACTTGACCTGTAAAACAGCAACAAGAGCGGACAAAAACAACTTAAGTAAATGTATATTTGTTAATGTACTGTACCTTTGCTATTTTTGTTCTAGAAATAAGAATATTGAGGTACAAAAAATACTATGTTTCTAAGTATATTACTTAGTTTTAATAAATTAAGTTTTCATTAAAAATAGGTTTTATCAAATTCTACAATCAATAATGATACAGATTTCCTTCTATTTTATATGAGAATTTAGAAGAAATACATTTTACAAACGAAGAACAATTTGATAAATAAAGAACCATTTTTGGGGAATCAGTTTGATGAAGTATTACAACAAGACTATTAATAATGTTTCTAAACTACAGTACTTACCCTTGAACTTTTGAATTTTGTACAATCAATAATTTGATCTTTACAGGAGCTTGAGTGAACTGTTACCAGGCAATCTAAAATTAGTGAAAACTCACAAATTACTAACGAAATCTTCAAGTACATCAAAACAAGATTACAAACTTTAACTTAAAATTGCTTGAAAGTTCTCACTCTAGACAACAGTGTAAAAATGTGTAAAATCCACACTTTAGTTGTATAGAAACAGGTTATATGATTCAGATATTTTAAAAAATATATATATTTGAGAACTTGATGAAGTATTTAAATAAATATATATTATTTTTCTTTTTAAACAGAAAATATAAAATTGCAAGTAAAACCTTTAATGTACATAATTTATGTATGGAGCATAGCCAACTCTACAGGGTGTGGGGTGGAGTCTTTTTCCAAGAAAATGTAGACCTTTTCTTCAACACAAAAAAATAAATGATTTACATAAAAGTCAACTGCTTATTAAAAAAAAAAGAATCAGAAGATAGTGGACCTTTCAGATTTTTTAGAATATTGGGGTAGTAATTTGCCCCCCCCCCCCAGCTACACCCCTGATACAGTTATGAAATAAAGTTTTTTAATAATTTTAGTAAATATAAACTCATAAAATTTTAACTTTCTTGAAGTTCTTTTTTTACTCTTAGTGATGTTTTAATATTTCACTATCTAACATAAAGTAAGCAATAAAGAATGTCTATAGCTTTCAGGGATGTAGGTCTTAACAGCCCACTTGGCAACATACTTTTTTTTTTGTGTTCACCTATAAAAAACTAGTCAATTTTATAATGATCAATGCAAGATATAAATATGAGAAGAATCAACTCTCATGATACAGTACATTAACATTGTGCTGTCTTTATATCTTAATAGATAATTATATGGAACAAGTAGTGAGCTAAGCAAAATAAAAACAGAAAAAAACAAACTGCTGACTTTGTTCATATATTAATTTTACTGATCAACAGATCCTCATCTAACATGAGATACAAGTTATTGTTTCCTCTTGAATTTGTTTTGGTTATTAATGGTACTTATTTATAACTACTGGTATCACAAAAATCAATAAAATGCTTTCTTTTCACATATTTCTTTTGAGGATAATTTACAACTGTTGATAAGAAAGTATGATAATGATGATGACCCAAAGGTCATGCACCCAATTCCATAAAAGTAATATATTTTTCTGAATTTTTGTAATTTTCTTTTCAACTTTGAACATAATGCTCAAAATGTTATAGACACAGTGTGTATATGTTATTGATAATAAAGGTAAACAAAAAAATATATGATGAGCAAGACTTTTTTAGAATGAATTTAGAATAGGATAGCTTTTAACCCTATCACCATGGGTATCCTTTACTGCGCATGACACAAGGTTTTAGTGTCTTGCATTCAAAGGTTTATTAAACTATTTTTTGTTTATGTTATACCAATTATAATAGCATAAAATGTTAGCTAATAATTCATATTTTAATAACATACAAGTTTTAAGTTTTAATTCTACAAGGCAATATTAAAAAAAACCTGAATTTCCACCAATGCGACCCACATGACATATTTTGTCTTAGCGTGTCGTCATCCCAATTTTATCCACCACCCCTCAAAAACTATGAAATTAAATGTAAATTACTCTCTATAAAATCGTTATTGCTCAGACAAACCATAATTTTTATAGCCTTCAATTATTATTGAATAGAAAATCAGACCCCTCCTGCCACACCCTCTCTTTCAGAATTCATTGATAGTTTTCTCTTATGTTTCATTATATATATTTCCTATAACTAATGGACAATCAAGGTTTTCATCTATCAACTGATGTATTGTAAAACGTTATGTTCTGAAAGCTTAAATAACAATTTCATTCAGAGTACGAACATCGTTTCCGTGGGAAAATTAACAATTAGCTTGGATGAATTTGTAACAGCTCGTGTCGCATAGTTAAAAAGCCAGGAAAATTTTGAGAGGTAAGTTAATTTGTTTACTTTTTGCATTTTATTAGTCTATATTCTTTGGCGTATTATTTAATTAAATAAAAATGATTAAGTGCATTACTATCTATTAGGGTTAACTCTCTTCAAAACCCAACAGCAAGAAAAAAGAAGATTGGTTGAGTATTATATTTCTTGTTTTGCATGTTTATTCTTTATGTATAATTATAAAAGTAACTAAAATGTAAAAATAGGGATCCATTTAAGTTTGTTAACATTAGATTGGGTAAAATAAATAATAATAATATTATAATAAAAATGTTTCACATGCGAGCAGCTCCTGGGTAATGTAATTCAATAGTGTAACATGAGCTGCATGTTCCCCGAATGATTTACAATTTATAATGGAGCGGATAGTAATTAGACATGGTTGAAAGGGCAATAAAACAATAATAATTAATTATAAATAAATGTATAATGTTAAGAACTTAGAGTTACTTAGCATAAACGAATGTAATTTCATGTTACAATTTAAAGTCATTCTAGAAAGAAAAAAAGGGTAATTTAGGTTTTTTTTCGATTCGTTTTTTGGTGGTTACGAGATCAGTCAAAATGACTGATCCAGTTTTGAGATAGGGTACAGAAAATAACACATAAACTATAATGTTTAGCTGAAAAAAAAAAACGTTTGAAATGCATTTAAGAGGTTTTAGGGATTACACAAAGGAAATTTGAAATTTTTGAGATGAGGAAAAGTATTTTTAATTTTAACACGAAAATTTCTTTGCACACGAACTATTCAAAACAAATACTAAATATATTCATGGACAAATCTTTATTTTATTTTATTAAAAAAAACTTCACTAAAAAATAAGATTTTTTTGTATGTGAAAGGCTTATAATATTAACTGAAAGACTGTCAAAATTTGTGAAGATATACACACTATATTGAAAGTTAGAAGTATTAAATGTATAAAGACTTTAAATGAGTACAAAGAGGTCATGTAGTTGGTCAAATTGACTGAGCTGTGTTGAGAGAGTTAAACTGACCCTTCATTCAATGGGAACTCTAATTCAAGGAAAGTAAAACTTCATGGCAATAAGTAAGTAAGACCTATGAACATACAGTCTATAGTCAGAAAGTTACCATATTTTCACATAAATAATCCACTCCCTGATATACCCTGCACCTGATAAAAAAGGTGCTCTAAGAAACCTTTAGGCACATATTACTTGTGTATACCCAGCAAACCAGCAACACAGACACATTTTGGAAGACAAGAAAAATGAAAAGAATCCTTTTACATTATAGTAACACAATAAATCCTCCACTAAACAGAGATTCTGGATTAGAGGTGAGTAACCTGTGGCTACAATTGGTTCAATCTACAGGAAGTCTTTCCACCAATTAGAAACAAGGATAAAGCATCTAATCGGAACACATCCTCCATAATCCACCAGAATACTATAAATGCTGACAACACCATACACACTGACCTGAAGACGGAAGAGGAAGACTTTAAAAATGTCATCCTCTACATTAATTCAATTAGATTCATCATGTTGGCTGCTAAATCTTATATAATTTTACGAATTCATCCAGATTATTAAAAATTGCTAAAAAAATTACTGCCGTATGATGTCTGCTATCAATACAAGGAAGAAAAAACATAAAAGTTAAATGGCCAAATTAAAACTGAAAGTTTCTCAGTATGTAGAAGAACACAGTAACAGAGAAGCTGGTCAATAGTAGTCAAAATAGTCAATAGTACTGTATTTATACTTTGTCCTTTGACCAGAGAATAACTGGGAATGCTAACAGACATACTTATTGGTCTATTGATGAATCACTCCAAGTGTTGAACAAGGACAGCAACAATATAAACGAATATTCTGAATAGAAAATTGTTGATTTAAGTCTTAAATACAAATAAATACCATTGTACTTACATGCGAGTATACCATGCAGTTGGCATTTTTGAAAACTAATTTAACATACAGACCCATGGGTTATTTGAATAAAAACACAGTAAATAATATGTATTCATATTTATCCCAGATATACCAAACAGAACTAAGAAAGTAAATGCATACTTTCACAGCGAAGAGCCGGTTTATTTGCAAGAGGCTTATTACAAACATCACAATCAGCTGCTATACTGTAACATATGGAGACAAACTGATGAGCAGACTTCTTGTTCTCTTTGTCTTTCTCTTCATGTTTACTCTATATGAATAATGAAAAAAAAAGAATAATCAGAAGGAATACACAGGGAGATTACGTGTTGTATGCAGGCATTTACTGAATTTTTTTGGGATAATCAAAATTCTGCACTTTAGCCACTTAAAATTAACTTTCTCCATACCATTTTCAAGGTGCTTTTTACAAATGGTGCTAATTTCTTGTGTGCAAGAGTAAAAACTTGTACTATAGTTTGATAATACAAAATTATTCAACATTTCTCTTCCTCAAATAAGTTACACTGAATATGATAGCACTTGTTATTCAAGTTAACGTGTTTATTCATATAACAAATCATAACTATAAAATTTTTAAAATATTAATTTATCTAAATCTTGATTGTTTGTTTTGCACCACAAACAAACGTATATTGTGAATAAGTTGTTATATTATTGTAACTAACTGGCACGCTACATATGCAAGTTGATCTATTATTTGAATAAAAAATAAATTTTCTTGAAACAAAAATATTAGAACTGCAAAAATTATGTAAAAGTCATTAACAAATGATCACAAAGTTTAGGTAGATTGATTATAACAAACCAGATCACATTCAGTAAATACTTATAGAGCTTTAAAGTTCTGTGAGACTTCACATCAAAATTCAGCTCAAAAATTATTAAATAATTCATTAAGTCAGCTAAGAATTTCAGGAAGAAACAAAAACTTTATATTACAAATGATATTATACTTAGTACATCAAATGGAAGAAAACTTTCAATAAAGACAACATATACGCAAAATGTTTAGCAAGTTAACTTATAATAACTGAAAAAAATAATTTTTGTTTTACTTTATTATATAATAAATACATCTGAAATTAGCAACTTAATTATTTATACATTATTGATGCTACATATCAAAGTGTACACAACATTATACCAATAGTTTTTTTTACGTACAAACGACTATTCACTATGAACTGATTTTTAATAAAAATAAATTAGCAACAAATATCCTGAACACATCAGAATGTCTTCAAAGTGTTTATACATTCCCAAAATGTTGGATTTTTAGACAATAAAAACCAGTAATTATTATAACGTTCAGATTAACAGCAAGTACATGACTGATACAAGAATAAATGAAAAGTAATGATTTAAATCTTCAATCAGACAATTATATAAGAACTAATTAGTTATTTTATATACAATAGTATTAAAATTAAATTCTCATGTCCTTCTGCTAAGAACAGCTAGTTGCTAATAATGTGAATATGATTTCAAATATGTAAGCATGAAGGTAGGTCCATAACAACTTATTTGAAATCTTTTATTTAATACAAATCAATATATGATAAACATGCTAGTGGAAACTTAGCAGAAGACAAGCTAGGTTCCTAAGCTAGTTTGAAACAAGTTTTAGAGAACTGAAATGATTCAAAACAGGTCTTGTTGATATCAGGTGAAACTGAGATGGTTAAATATTCAGTTTCCAGCAAGTGTGTAAAATAATTAAGCAGGTTTACTCAGGTAATGATCAAATAATAGTTTCAGAAGCAAAGATGACACTGTTTGGTTTACAGTCAACTCAGGATGTACATTGTGTATTCACAAGTTTTCTTTAGTGCAGAGCATCTTTTCAATTGGCCATATTTCCCAAGATGCTGAAATTGTTGGTTGTAATTGTAATGCTACAATCTTGCAAACAGTGACGAAGCATGGCCAACTGATTATGTAGTGTATTTTGTACATATGCTTTAATTCTTGAGCTCAAACAACGAATTGTAGAGCCTACATAGCCATGGTTACATTACATATATGTGGGGCCATCATATCATGAAAAAACTTGACTGAAAACAAAGTAAACTATTTTGGTTTCACTCAATAGTGGTTAATAGTATTACAAGTTTTATACATATAAGTAGACACATACACATACAAGAACTGAAAAGGGCTACAAACTATAATTATTTCAGACCTTATTTCATGTTTATCCTAAATGATTGTTAAGGAATACATTTTATGCTGCATATGCAATTGAATTTTCTGAGATGAAGAAATAAAGATACTACAATATTAACCTTCTGTTTTTACAGCTTCTACATGATTGATTATTTTGTGGTTGAAGCAACAGATGTACTTGGCATTATTTAGCTTTGGAGAAATTAAACAAGTTATTAATTTCATTCTTAAAAAGATTAAAAAAAAAGACATACTAACCAATGCTGTAGAAAGTGTCTATTTACAATGAAAAACATACCTTCATCTAAGTGACAATGATTACAATTAAGGGGTATTTTTCACAACATTTTATATCAAAAAATAGCAACCAACCAGGGAGAAGCTAGATGAGCTAGTTGGAGACAAGGAATTTCTAGTGTAAAGTTGGTACACAGCTGTATATCAGTAGGTACTGTGGTGAAATGGATAAGCAGTTGGAGACTAGAAAGTGTCAACTCAGCAGTTATTTCTGTTTGCATGAGCTATGTCAACCAGGTGAAGACTACAAAATGCTATGAAGGACATGGTAACTAGAATGACACTAGGAAGTGCTGGACCAACAGTTATTATTATGAGTTAAGTCAACCAGCTGGAGACCAGAAGATGATAGGGACAGTTGAAAAAAAAAAGGCTAGGAATTGCTGGGTTGAGCAGAAGATGCTAGATACAGTTGGAAAAATAGATGAAGACTAGGAAGTGGTGGGTTGAGCTGGACCAACAGATATTGTTATGAGCTAATTCAATTAGTTGGAAACCAGAAAATGCTAGGGACAGTTGGAAAAATCGATGGAGGCTAGGAAGTGCCGGGTTGAGCTGGACCAGCAGATATTATTATCAGCTAAGTCAACCAGCTTGAGACTAGAATATGCTTTGAAAAGTTTGGTAAGTAGTAAGAGGATTAGAAGATGGTGGCACATGTTGATGTACTGCACACATCTGGGACCCATCACTTTAAAAGTGAACTGGGTCACCAACCTAAGGACCAGAAAAGCATTTGAATAAACCTAATTACCAAGCTGGAAAAAAACAAAATAGGTGCTAGAAACCAACAATTCAATGGCTTAAAACACAACTCCTGCTGTTCATCAATTAATAATGTTATAAACTGGTTTTTTAAATTTGGCATCTCAAACAAGTTGTTCTGTATAAATTCCTGATTATGAGGAGTGTTACCTTTCTTTTTCGAAAAAAGAGACTCCCTCTCTTCTTCCTCTTTCCAAATGGTTTGTCATCATCACTATCCTGACCAGTCAAATGGTTTCTGAAATAGATTAAAAACAGAGTATATTTGTTACTATGTACACTTTTTTAAAGACATCAACCAATAGATAATAAAAATTAGTATTTCCAATTATTACTACTTTAGATTAATCCAACTATAAATTAATCGAAACATTGCTATTATGATTTCTCATGATTATTATTGATTAATTCAAGGTTGTTCAGTTCAACTGATTAATGTCACAATTCATAAAAATAATAAACTTACTGAAAATAATGTTTTCTATTATTCCAACTATTCAAGTATTATGTGAAAATAATCAATTAGTTTAATGTAATTGATTAATGAGCCTAATGATTAATTGCTTTTCAAATTTTACTAATCACCCATTTATACTACATAAAGAGAAAAACACAATTGAATATAACATATTAATATCAAGAGATAACAATGAATTTCCAAAAATACGCAGCATTATAATAACAAAAATTTTATACAACTTGTTGTAGGTATACCCTTTGATATATTACAAATAATTAATACAGAGAAAGTATTTTACACAAGTCTGCATGTAATTTTATAAAAATTAAACGATATAACAGCCATTATACACTAAACACACTTACTGATAGCCTCTCAATAAATCAGCTAATGATACTTGGGCCATGTGAAAATTAGGCTCTTCATCTTCAGGCATCATAGCAACATTAAGCTCATCATCCAGTTCACACATACGGAGAGGGTTGAAATTAAATAAACTAAGAAAATAACAGAAACAAACTAATGCTGCCAACTATTAAATAAAACAGCAATGGTCTCACAATACTAGAACTAAAGTTGCATCCAAACACTTACATGCTATAAAGGGACACTGTATATACTTCACATTTAAACATTCCAAGATAACAGTAATCAAAAAATAATAAAAACCTCCTTTGAGTATATTTATTGATTTAACATAAATTATCAAAAATGAATGGCTGTGGTTTTATTTTTATTCAATAAAATTGTAAGACAAATAAATCATATGTAAAAAATGAATTCTAAATACATTATATACTTAATTACAAAGATTAGATAATTGTTATGAAGTGTATATTTGAGGAAAATTCATTCTTTGATAGATTTAAAGTGGTTATCAATGTGGACTTTTATTTTAGTGTATGGTCTATTAAAAGACAGTTACATATATATTATTTTCCTTATTTTCTAGTTTAGCAGAAACCTACTTTTTGATGTACTTATTCAAGAAGATCTTAAGTATTGAGAGTGATGGGTGACAATGAAAATGCTTATATTTACTGTAGTAATTTAGAACTTAGGCAAAACAAAATATAAAGGATTCAATAACTTTATTGATTATGGTTTCCCCATATTGAAAATTGTTGATTCTAAACATTTTACTCCAAAAAACAACCCAAGAAGTTGGTGCATTTCCATGTCTATATTTCATTATTTATTGGTTGTATAGTAAGATATTATGATTCAGGATAAGAAACAGTATTACTCAAAGAGTTAATGTTAAAAAGAGGCCTAATACTGTCACCAGTTGATTCTGTAGTTGCTACATTTGATGATAGAAATATAAAGTGTTATGGTTGTTCACATTACTTCTAGAGAAAGGAAAAAAGAATGGCTTATTTACTGACATTGCAAATACAAAAGACACAAGGTCAGCAAATTCAAAGCAAATGGTGTTGCTTATGCTTATATACACAGTTTAGGTATTACTATGTGAGAAGACTGTTGAAATATGAACGAAATAAAACACATTTGCTTTATATCAATACACTGCAATATATATATATTTAAAGTTCTACTAAACACTCTAACAGTAATGTTTTGTAATAGCCTAAAAAAACACCACTGTAGGTATTATTTTGAACTTAAATATATCTAAAGATCACAAAGACGATAATATTTCTGACAATTCATTAAGGAATGATAAAGGATAATTTTTTATTTGACAATAACTGTTATTATAAATACAGATATATATATCACCCAACATTAAATACTGATTCTAAATTATCACACATTGGACAGATATAAGCTTGGCTAAACATATTATTCATTTAATATATGTATACAAAATTAATTTGCATACAGTTTAACATTACTGATACAGGGGAGTCAAAGTGGGCATATGACTTTTTTTACATTGCTACATTCAAAGTTTAATGAAACTCCTTTATTATCAGTGTATGGTAATAAACTTAGCATCAATATATATATATATGTTTAGTTTATAATTCAAATTTTTATATTATCCAAGTTTTAGTTTCAAAAGGAAATAAATAAATAAATTCTCAGTCTACAGTTCTCCGAGTCACATGACAAGATGACACTGTAACTTCTCAATTATAGATATTTTTCTCTTTTCTTAAAAGGGCTTCAGGTTGTTCAACCAATTAGAAACATATACTATAAGGTTTGTAAAAATCTATATTGACAAGACATAATATAAAACTTCAATCTTTTATTTTCCAACTTTATTGAGGTATCACTAATCACTGTATCTGTTCAATGTATATTGACATGCCCCTCCTATATCCTTTGTCTTTGATTGAAGAAATGTCTATAATTTTCTCTGACATTAATATTGGACATGTTTAATATAACCAATAAAAAGAGTATATTATAAACTACATGAATCCAATGATTGTCTCTTTTCTTTTAATGGTCAAAGCCGATAAATTGCAAGGAGAGATTGAAGTGTTTAGACTAAAAACACTGCTCTGAACAGTAATGAAATTTCTTAAACCTATATATAAATTATAAATTACAGTAGTTTTGAGACATTCTATTCTGGTGCTTGATATATTTTAAAAATGCATATTCAAAAGATATACGAGTTATTTCTGAACAACCAACATAGTCAGAAAAAAACAGGTTTACTAAACCATGCAAAAGCATGAAAGCAAAAGTCCTCAAGTGCTAAATTTCTTGTATACTCTTTATTTATTGTTATACATTTTTTTAAAATGCAATTAAAAGTTTAAAATTAAAAACTTATTAGGTTAGATGAGAAGACTTAAATGAAAAAACATTTCTCCTTGAGGAATGCATAAGGGCTGTCTTCACATGATGTAACTCAAGAATTTGTTTATTTTATGCTCTTGCCAGGTGATTTATTGCTTTGTTATACTAGTTATGCACAGTTCAGAGATTATTTCACTACATTTAGTGTTAGGGTAAAAAAACAACAAGATAAAGTATAAACTTTACAAATAAAATATCTGGATATTTATTTATGAGGTACTAGAGGTTATGCAAATGAAATAAGAAAAACTGTAAGTTGAAAAAGGAGTATTTTCATTCTTAGCATGAAAATTACCTTTCTCTCAGGCTCACTCAGTAAAGGCTTCATAAATTCCCATATAAATACTTTATTAAAACATCAGGTTTTGTGTACAACACACTTGTAATACTTATAAATGCTTCCCAAACTTTTTGAAGATACTATAACACTGAATGTGTTAACTCTTTCAGCACGGGCTCAGTCCCTGGGACTGACATCATAACCATTTTGTGCTTGTTATAGTTTCATGCTATAACTTTTAAATTATTAAGCAACAAATTATTAATAAAATTTGGCAGATTATCAGTAAACATTACAATGCTTTCATATGCAAAATATCACATTTTTTTATTAAGTCTTAAGGTTTATAAAGCAATGTTTTCTCATGTCTTTTTTTTTCTTTACGCATGTTGTCTATCTATCATGCAAAGTAATATTAATTTTAAGATTAAAAATACTTTTATGCATCAGAAAATTTTGAAATTTCACATGCAAAATCTTTATAATATCCTGATAGTTATCCAATGTTTCATAAGAAAAAACTTTATATTTAATCTGTTATTTTCAGTAATTAATATCTGTATGGGTTCAAAAGATTTGACCGATCTTGCAACCACCATAAAAAATCAAAAAATAAATATAAATTATGCCTCTTTCATTCTAGAATGAACATAAATTATAGCACGAAAACATAAATGTTTTGACTAAATAGTTTAAATATCATAACATTATACATTTATATATATTTATTATTTTTATTA